TTAAGAAATATAAACCAACTATTTTTGAACTTATGGAAGAAAAGAAAATCTCCAATAAGTCAAAATAGTTTAGGTTATATTTGCCTTTTTTTGTTCTTATGCAAGTCATGTAAAGATAAGATAATTCAGTTTTATGCAATGAATAAAATATTAGCATATTTAAGCATTGTTGCAAAAAAGTTCAAAATATCATATTATAGACCATTATAGAAAGAAAGCCATAATCTGCCCAAGAGGCTTTGGTTTACCGGAGTTTGGTTTCTGTCTGCTTTTTGGATTGCTCCAAATTAGGCAGTTAAGCCTGCAACGCTTTGAATTTGGGAGCAGCAATTTCGGCTTGAACTTTCAATTCCATCACTTTGCCATTGAGTTGGATTTTGTCTAGCTGCAACTGAGCAAGCTCGGCTTGAAGTTTTTTTCTCTCTGGTATCTAGTTCGGTAGCTTCTTTCTTCAAGGCTAAGTGAAGCTCTTTTCCCATTTTCAAAGTATTAGAAAGCTTTTCTTTTTCTTGGTACTGGATGGAGCAATGGTGGAGAGCTTGGTTTGATTCAACATACGCAGTGATCATGGTAGGAACTTGAAGTTGAAAATTCTTAAAAAGAGCTAGATCACTTAAGGAGAATCCTGGATAGCTACTCAGGAAAAAAAGTGTCTCGGTCAATTCATTTTTGAACAAAGGGGTAAGAGACAAATCTTGTTGTACCATTTGGGATAATATTTGCACAGCTTTCGTTACTTCAAAAGAAGTTTCAGAAGTTTGTTCAGTTGAGATTACAGGAGGTTTAGGATCTAAAGAGTCAAACACATAATCGAATAAAGAATTAAGTTGCAAAGGGAGAACTTGGGTTGGCACTGGCAGGTATGGTAGGCGTAGCCGAGTCTTTCTGTACCTGAAATATTTTGGGTTAGTCTCAATCATTTCGAATTTAAAAGAACAAGTTATGGAAAATCACAACTTACTTCCTCAGAGTCTCCAATTTGCTTATTCATTGAAACTGCAGCTAGGTGTTGAGAAGAAGCTGGAAAAATTATCTTTTCAGGGGACCCTTGTTCTTGTTCTACTGATATTTCAATTTTTTCTTCTTCAACGTTGTCCATAGCAATTTCTTGACTTGCTTTTTGTTCTGAAGAGAGTGGAGTTTTCTGCAAATAATGCCGATTTAGTTACACTATTTGAACAAAATACAATGTAAACAATCAGACATTAAGGAAATTTACCTTGGGAGTCTCAATGGCAGATTTCTTTTTTCTTGGATATGACTTCATCTTCATCCACTTCATCATCATCAATCAAGACGAAGTGTCTCTTGGCTTTTGATTTTTTAGCAGGTTTCTTTCCAACAATCTTTTTCTTTGTTTTTACTTGGAACAGAATTGTTAGCAGGTAATATAGAATGTATCAAGACAAACAGATATGGTGTGATTGTGAGTGTTACCTGAGCAACAGCTATAGGAGGTATGCTCTAAATAGGAATGTAAGGATCAAGTAGAGTTGTTTTTGAATTAATTTGGTTTATACCTTCTGGTGCAGAGGGCTGAGCACCTGTAGTTAAAATAATAACAAATCTATAATACAGAGTAGATATGTTTATTGATGAGATACAAAAGAGATCACAACTTACTTTGCTGAGAGTGTGATCTAGTCCTACCTGCTGGAGCTGTGGGTGGAGCATGACTAGTGGATTTAATGGGCTTATTCTCTAGCATAGGAGCTGTAGCAAGAACAACAGGTGGAAAGGTTTCTCTTCCTTGAAAAGAAAAAGATATAAACTTGTAGGATCCAAGAAGAACATTGACAAGCTGCAAGGCTTCTTTTTCCTAGTAAAGCCAATAGACGAAGACCACTATTCTTCAAAGTTTGGGTCAGTGGCTTGTTCTTCTGAAAATTCTTCGTATTGAAAATTGCTCTGAAATTAGTTGGTAACATCCTAGACTTGATCACTATTTGTCAACTTCACTCTTTTATGAAAATTCTTGTTGTATGAAGAATGATGAGGTACTGGAATTAATTGAGTCAATCCAAATTTCCTGGCCAGTTGTGCAAGGTTATAGCACTCTTACCTAATTCAGCTTTTTGCAAGGTGGGGTGCAACAGTATTGCAAGAAATATCCCTTGCAGTTAGAAAATGGCCCCAAGAAGTTTTGTATAGTTCAATTTGCTCTGCTGAGGAATCGGCAGTGGGAGGAAACAACCACGAAGGGGCTAATCAACAGTTGGCAAAGGGGAGAAATTGAGAGCGAGTTCGAAAGGTACACTGATGATAAAAGAACTGAAAATAGTCAAGGAATGACTGCTCTTTGGGTTTAGCTCGGGTATATCCAAAAGAAATCAACAAATCTTTTGTTGAGAGATGGATTTTGGGAGATGACTCAGGAAAGTAAGAATGTAACTAGAACTGATAAAGCCATAATGGTCCTCCAGACCGGGAAAAGCTTGAAACAGTAAGGTCTGATAAACCCCTGTATAAAGATGCTAAAAGAAACGAAGCTAAGGCCATGGGTTTTCCTTTAGACAACGCTATGGCTAATTGGGTAAGATCTTTGGTAATTTGGATAGCAGGAGTGCACAGTAAATGCCGACATAACCACAACAACAAAAAACCTATATATTCTTGTTCACTAACATCAGTCTCATCTTCTCCAATCATTTCTTTAAGAAATGGCCTATGAGATTGGATATGATGCTTAGGGCCATCTTGTTCAGGAAAATTAAAGTTTGTTTCTGAATCCTAGAGAAGGTAATTGATATCTTCCCCTCAGGTTTCAAACCAGTCAGAAAATAAACATCCCTAAGAGTAGGGGCCATCATACCACAACGCAGGTGTAATGAGTTGGTGGTGGGTGACCAAAAGTGTAACGATGCAAAGAACAAAGCTTTATCAAGAGTTAGAGGAATCTTACTGATTTGGATGATGTCGAATATACCCATCTCTTCCCATAGATCTCATTTGGTAGCTGATACTGGATCCACCCAATCATTCCATTGGAGCATGGGAGGATGCCAATTCCTGATTAACAGTGATGACCTTTCACCTTCAGCAGTTTGGTACACAGGTTTAAGGAATAGAAGTTGAGCCTCCCCTTGAGGATAGAAGGGGGATAGTGATGGAGGAAATCGATTGTTGAATGCTGGGCCAAGGCCCTTAGCATTATTAACCAGATCGATGAGTGTTGCATTGTTCAATTCAGGGGAAGGTAGGGTTTTGAGGGCAATCTTTGTCATTTGGGTATGAGATGTCAATTCTGGTATTGGTGATTCCAAATTAAGAATGGCGTTTTGCTTTTAAGTCTTGGATGACACACTAAAAAGGGAAAAGGAGTTTTGATTTTGATAAAGATGAAGGATTGTTGTGAGAGGAGTCTGATGCACAGGTCAAATGAGTTTGAGAATATGAGGCGTGTGTGATTAGAAGAAGGAAAGATTACGGCAGCATTAATGATGGATTAGATGGGTAAGGTGAATCAGTATATTTTGGAAACTGAAACCATCATGACAATAGTTGGAAATTATATGGCGTATGTGGAACTCTGATACAATGAGTGTTATTTGAATTTTGGAAACCGAAGGGTTAAAACGGCTACCAAAATTAGGGGGCATTGTTGACACCCATTTTGGTAATTGGGCTTAAGTCATAATTGGGCTTGGAATGCAGTGACATGGCAAGAGCTTGGGCTGCGAGGAGAGGTTGGGCTCTGTATATGGTTTAAGTGGGCCAAGAATATGGACGTGGACTACAGGTGTTAGCAATGACGTGGCAGATTTTACACAGAACAAAGCTACATACAAGGGCGTTATTGATTGGATGGAATATTTTTGAACTATATATTGGATAAGATTTATGTGTTTACTTGATTTTAGTTAAGAATTAATGTTTATCCAGGAACGTTTAGTTTGAATTTATTTTCAGTATGATATAGAGTTTTATTGTAATTAGAATACTTGTTTATATGTATTTGTTTTGAGTTTATTCTATAAATAAATAAGGAGGCATGCTGAGATCGAGGTCCAGCACCCTCAGAAACATTAATTTAATTTTTTGCTTCTCAAGCTCTTTCCTATAATAGCATCTTTGTTATTTTTTCTATCCTTTTAATTAAGGCAATTCTTGAACTCAAAAAGAGTTTTACTATTCTCTTTATCCTCGCATCGCCTGAAAGTCAACTTTCCCAAAGAGACTAACGTTGACAACTCACACTCGAACCATACAATTGGTTCTGGCACGCCCACAACATATCAATTCCGAATCGGATCTAAGGAGCTGATTTTAGCGCCAATACTTATAAGTCATAGAACTTTTTTGAAAATTTTATAAAAATTTATTACTTCATTGTTGTAAAGAAAATTTTTTTAGCACTTATGAATCTTAAAAGTATGACTAACATGTAATTACGAGAATAGTTTGTTGAATTTTCAAGAAATCATCTTTTATGCGATCAAAGATAAATGCATGTGTGTATATGTACCATAAGAGAGTGAGACAAGAACCAAAAAGAGGTTGTGTGTGAGGTCAGGGTCTAGTGCGCTAAACTATTGGGTACTGCTGCATACCCATCCATTTATACCCATGTCACTTTCCATTCGAATCTGATAGGGGACAAGTCTCTCCTTGTAACACTTGGTCACAACCTGACATTTCAAAACAATACTGCGTGTTATTAATTTAAAATTAGAGTACTATTTAATCAATGTGGGATTTGGAAATTTAGCTTTGGCTTTTTAAAGGTCAGTTTATCATATTGGTTTCCTTGTACAGTAATTGACTACTAAACTTTCATTAACTGGAGTATATAAATTACCTCTACAATTGGCGTCTGTGCCGATCACTCCTCTCCGAACTTCGCCGGGCGACGATAGGACTGTATCGAACAATGCATTGTCACGATTTGGAGGGCTTTGACGAGTACATAGGAACCCATTTTGGACTGCCATGTATGGTCCTCGTCACAGTAGTACCTTTTTCTTTTTCTCCCGACCAATACAATATTACCGCGGTTAGTTCACAAACATCTCTGTGTTAATACGTTCTCTTTTGCAAACCTTCAATTATTGAGCTGTTTGTGATGAATATGCCCATTACAACGAAGTCTGCTTCTTTTATATATATGAATATGCCCTACCTTCAATTGTTGAGCTTGTTTGTGATGGTCTGCCTTTGTCTACAGCGACTCCATATTAAATTTCCCCCATTGTGGATGGGTATTCTCCCCACCACATAATGAATCACTTAGATTTCCCATTATATACACTTTTTTTTTTTTTTTTTTTTTTTTTCTGATTTGATAAAGTCAACTATTTAGACTGCCCACTTGAATCCTCAAGTCTCAACTGGGAAAAAAATGTCAAAGGATTTGAATTTTGGGATATAGAGGAGTTGGTGGTGAAGCGAATACTATTAGTGGGCTATCTCTGGTCTCCATATAACTCAGATAAAAGAGGGGTTGTGTCTCGAAGTTTTTGTTTTACCTGTAATTTGGTACAATGGGTGGTGTTCTTTTTATTATCTCACTCTTTTGCAATTTGCTGCTGCTTCAAAATCCGTCTTTTTCGTATCCATTATGTACTAATTCAAGTATGTTTCACTACTTCACTTTCTTCCATTTCAATTCTGTTAATACGTTATTGATGGTTTTATTGCTCTATTTGCAGCTATCAATTTACATTCTGAACTTCTTCTTCTTTCTATTTATCTGGTGTAGGGGCAGCCTTTAACCCAAAGACCCCTCTGGTATTCTGTCCTTACAGTGGAACTGTCTGCTGCAACTCCACCCAAGAGTTAAGTTTGCAGCAGCAATATGTCAAGATGAACATCTCAGATTTTGGCTGTGCTGCCCTTATTAAATCGGTTCTTTGTGCGGTAAGAGTTTTTATTTATCTTCACAAATATGAATTTATCTGTGATATATAAAATTTTGAATCATGAATTGATTGAGTACTTGGTGATGTAATAGTATAATCCTTCTTTTTGTAATACATTAACAGGATTCAAATTAATAAATTTATCACCTTATGAAGGATTGGTACAACTTAGACATCTTTGTAACTATAGGAACTATTGCTGTTATATTTGTTGTCTTAATTTTTTTAATGATCTATCAAAATTTGACTAAAATTAACTATTCTTGCTTCCCAACCCAAGTAAAAATCAATATATGAACTATATAATAAGATAAATATGTCAGTAAATAACGTTTATGCTTTATCTGATGCCTGTAAGAGAATTGTAAAAAAAATAAAATAAAATAAAAAGAATCGAAAAGAAATTAAAAAAAAAAAAAAAAAAAGAAGTCTATTGAACATATTTGTTTGTTTCAATGTCTGAAATTGTAATGGCATTATTCTAGCCTACAGAATCACATAAATTGCCTCAACTAAATCTGAGAGAAGTTTATTCATCATTTGTTTCCATGCTTTTTCCATATATGCCTTTAATTCTTAGCCAATTAGAAATCACCATTCTTAAAGATCAATTTTCTCTATATATCTCCTGAAATTGTATAACTTGGTCACTAAAAGTTATAAATTTTGGTTCTTGTGTTTGGCACAAGTTTATGTGTACATCTAATTTCTTGCCAAATTTGGAGTGACTTGATACAAAGTGAATTTGATGGGAGTGGTCACCCAAACGTTATTATACTTCTGATATTTTCATTTTTATATGTGTTGCTTATCTCATGTTTCATCTGAATTCATGTGCATTGATTTTAGTATCTCATATTTTACAGAGATGCGATCAACTTTCAGGAGAGCTATTTAGAATTGATTCTGTTCCCCGATCAGTCCCTGTACTTTGCAACTCTACTGTTTCAGCAAATTCTTCTCAAACTAGTCAATCAAAAATTGATTATTGTGCAAAAGTATGGGAGACATGTAAAAATGTATCTATAATGAATTCACCATTTGCTGCTTCATTACAAAGTCAAGCTGGAGTACCAATTACATCCAATTTCACCAAGCTTACAGATTTTTGGCAATCAAAAACTGATTTTTGCAATGCATTTGGTGGAGCTTCCCTTGATGAATCAGCATGTTCTGATGGAGGACCTGTTACACTAACTAACACTGCTGGGACTTTAAGTCCTCCAAATGGTATGTGTCTTGAGAAGATAGGGAATGATTCTTACCTTGATATGGTAGCTCATCCTGATGGCTCTTCTCGTGCTTTCTTCTCCAGTCAGGAAGGTAAGATTTGGTTAGCAACCATTCCCAAAGATGGATCAGGAGGAACACTAGAGCTTGATGAATCCAATCCTTTTCTCGATCTAACACATGAAGTCCATTTCGATAATGAATTTGGGATCATGGGCATTGCATTTCATCCAAATTTCGCCCAAAATGGACGTTTCTTTGCTTCTTTCAATTGTGACAAGTCTCAGTGGCCTGGATGCGCGGGAAGATGTTCATGTAACTCGGATGTGAACTGCGATCCTTCAAAGCTAGGTACTGATAATGGTGCCCTTCCATGCCAATATCACAGTGTAATTGCAGAGTATACTGCTAATGGTACCACATCCGAGTTTTCCTTGGTACATTTCGATGCACATGATTTATTTTCTCTTCTTATTTTTCACTTAAAGCTTATAAATGTAACTTAATCTTTTTCTAGGCAACAAGTGCTAAACCATTAGAAGTGAGAAGAATATTCACAATGGGCCTTCCATTTACAGATCATCATGGGGGACAGATTCTTTTTGGACCTTCAGATGGGTACTTATACTTTATGACGGGGGATGGTGGAGGTACAGGTGATCCTTACAATTTCGCCCAAAATAAGAAATCATTGCTTGGAAAGATAATGAGGCTTGACATTGACAACATACCAAGTGAGTTTTAGCATGGAAAATTTCATAATAGTGCATATTCCAAACATCTGTTGTTTTAGGAATTAATAGCCTACCCAATATTTGTTTCTTGTACAATGTGGTTTTAACCAATTTTTGCATTTAAGTTTGTGCCCTTTAACATATATTATCAACATATCATCTATATTCTTCTACTGCAAAGCACAAGAGTACGTATTTGAGAATTTTCAAGACCAAATCCATGTTTTTCCCCCCAAATATCAAAGTACAGCCTTAGATCTTTTACTTATTTATTCATAAAATGCATACTGCACGTAGATGATACGTGGCTTTCATAACAAATTGATTGGTCAACATTCCAATGCATTTATATCAGACAAAACAAACTTGAATGCATGCTTTTATACTGTCTATCAAACAAGTTGGAACACTATGTGACTAATTGATATACCCAATGTAAACATTCTCTTGTTATTGCCAGTCAGAATTTTTGTTATTCTGGCCCTTAGTAGATTTTTGGTTGCTTTCTCTGTTATGTCTGGTTCACTGTTTTTTTAGAAGTGAAGCTCAGTCTCTTAAGGATGGTCCAGAAAACGCTTTAATGTTTTAAATTTTGGATCACACCCCATCTTCATGTTCTCCTTCTCCAAAATTAATATTACCCACTCACTTTGGCCATTCAACTTGTGTCATTGTTTTTTTTTTCCTTGTCCAGTAAATAAATGAGATATATATATATATATATATATATATATATATATATATATATATATAAAAGGAGAAAGATTTTACATATAGACATGGGGCTTACCCTAAGGCCCAAAGAGAGTGGGCAAAAAGGAAAAAGAAAAATCAACCAACACACCCAAATGAAGCATTATCAGTGATACAAAAAGGAGAAGCCCAAACAAAAACTCCAAAGCCAGGCAACAGAAGACTACCAACAAGGCAAAGGTGGGAGATATCAACAAACATATGTCGTCCAATGTTCAGATCTCTACATTCATCAGAAGGGTAAAAACACATTCTTCTCAAATTCATCAAAAAACAAGTTCGGTAGATTCCAATCTGCAGCTATAGATGGTGCAAGTGGGTACTTGGTTTGACTAACTGAAAATAAACGAATGCGAACTGAGTTGATGATGATTTGCAGCTTTATCATAGGACAGACAGAGATGTTTTTAAAGATTCTGTTGTTAAGCTCCTTCCAAATGTGGTACACAAAGCCGCAAGGGTCAGCCTCCATTAAGTATTCTGCTTTTCTTTAATTTTGGTTTCCAATTTGATGATGCCCAGATGTGGAAATCACTCCATTTGTTACGGTTTGTGTAAGTGATTCCACACTGAGAATAAGGACATTGATGAAACAAATGGTTACGGTCCTCAGCAGCACCCACACAGAAGATGCACACATTGGGCTACATTCTAAAATCCAATGATGGTTTGTCTTGAGCGGATAATTTGTCTTGAATAGCAAGCCATAAACAAAAGGCGTGTTTGGGAATAGAGTGCCTAAAAGAAACCAGGTTGTGCCAATGGACATTAAGGTGATTTGGTGAAATTGATTTGAGGGTATGTTTGAGTGAATAGGTTTTATTTGGTGAAGGTAACCATTGGATGACATCATTGGTGTTGAGGTTGGGTAAGGATAGATTAGCAACCACGCCTACTGTTAGAATTCAGTACCTGTTAGATGCTCCATTACTGACTTTGTGTTGAACCATAGGTTGTGCTAAGTATCTGTTCTGCAACAATCCCCTCGAAAACCATGTACAGCATACCATATCCCATGGGGCTTTAGCTCTGAATCTTGACATAGAAGTTCCTGCCCATAGGAATCTTTGCATGATTTGGTTCATTTGAGTCATCACTTTAGCTGGTACGATAAACAAGTATGTCCGGAAGATGTGCATGCTACAGAGGGTAGCTTTGATCAGTTGCAGCCTCCCTGCATATGAAAGTGAACTTATGTCATTGTTTCATTTGTTCATAAAATAAAATGAAAAAGGATAAACTTTGGATCTAAAGGATTACTAAAAAGATGGTGGTTATAGAAATCTTATATTTTCTTCCATGCTTGTTTGGCAAGCTAGTCATATTAAGAAGCTATATAGTTTACTTTGCTTGGATCTGCATTTTTACTGTTCTCTTTTCCCTCTTTTAACATGTCACATATTTCAGGTTCAGTAGAATTTAGCAAGCTTGGTCTGTGGGGAAACTACTCTATCCCCAAGGATAATCCGTATATTGAAGATAAAGAGTTGCGGCCTGAAATATGGGCATTGGGATTAAGAAATCCTTGGCGTAGCAGTTTTGATTCAGAAAGGCCTTCCTATTTTATGTGTGCTGATATTGGGCAGGTATTAGTTTCCACTTCTAATATATTGGAATGGATGTTCATGCTATCATTTTTATACAAATCAAGCTGCTGAATTGGCTACATAAAGTGACTAGGTCCTTTTTCACTCGGAGCATATATTGTTCCTAATTTAATTATAGTTTTGGGCAAAAAATAGGACATATTTGATAGTTTGATGCTCTTATCTTACTCTAAAAACTTCATTCCATCCCACGTTGTTTGAAAGTTCTGTTAGGCTGGTTTATAATTCTTATTGAGGATTACTCCTGCTTAATTCTGAAACAAGCAGAGATGCAAAAGCATAAAGGTGCAATCTTTTGGTTTTATTTTTCTTTTTGCCTCCTGTTTGTGTGACATGATCTCATTTGCATGGTGATGTATCTGTATTATGTTTCTAAATCTTACTCGAAGGTCACACAAACCACAGCATGAAGAATTAAGTTAAAACACCATGTTAGATATCTACCTGCTAATTATATGCTTTAATTTTTTGAATTAAGAGCATTTTTGACTCTCATGCTGATGATTATACATAGGATCGATATGAAGAGGTTAATATAATCACGAAGGATGGGAACTATGGTTGGCGTGCTTATGAAGGTCCCTATCTTTTCACTCCTCAACAGTCACCTGGAGGGAATACATCTATAAATTCGATAAGCCCAATCTTCCCAGTAATGGGATACACTCACTCTGATGTGAACAAGAATGAAGGATCAGCAGCAATTATAGGTGGCTATTTCTATCGGTCCATGACTGATCCATGCATGCATGGAAGGTGAGTGAGCTTTTTCTCCCTTCAGTTTAGTCTTTCTATGGATGAGACTTTCATATTTTTCCCAACAAACCGGTTACAGTAAGACCTACAGAAACACATATGGGTTCGGGGAAAGAATCCCCTGAATTTTGGGTAGCTGTTGTTAAACCGGGTCGAATACTTTATGAAATCACTGACCACGTCCTATAGGGATCATCATATCAATAGCAATAAGCCCTGTTTGAAGAGGCTTATATGCAGAACGTCGCGAAATAATACCCGGAGCAGGGATTCAATTAACTGAGATTCGGAAGCTGAAATTTCACCTCTGCCATCAATAGGTTTAGCCAGGGTCAAACTCTTCTTTGGTGTCAAGGTAATAGCTATGAATAGTCATCGACTCCCGGGAAAGGGTAGAAGAATGTGACCTATTATGGAACATACAATGCATTACAGTGGAAAAGTTGACAGACAAGTCACCCTTACTGCCATTCTACAGAACCGTACATGAGATTTTCACCTCATACAACTCCTCGTTCAATTCTTTCGAAGTCATTGGATCCTTTTCCCCGTTCGAGAATCTCCTCCCTTCTTCCACTCCGTCCCGAAGAATAACTAGGACCAATTTAGTCACGTTTTCATATTCCGACTGAATTGAATTGGGTATATGAATCTAAGAAAAAATGAGAATTCTTGATCTCTCTCAATTCGAAAATCCAGGATTAAAATGTGCGGAATTCGTATATGAAAAGGTATAAAAAGGAAGAAAAAAGAAGAAGGAAAAGAATCATGCAGCCTCAGAGGCAGTAGTAATGATTTTTGATGAACTTCTTTGCACTTTCAGCAATTCATGGAAGAATGAATGACTTCTTCGATCTTTTTCTTGATTTCAGCCATTTATTCATTCAATTCACAGTTACAGAAAAGACTAAAGGACTTCGGTTGGATATTGGAATCCCCATCTAAATGGATTCATCTTATAATTCAGTAAAATTATTCCAGTAAATAGCAGAATCGTGGATAGGGAATCTATACTAACAGCCTACCCTAATTTATTGTAGAAATTTTCGGCGATCAATGAATGACAAACTAGAAAAACTTTTTGTTGGATAAAGGAACAAATTACTCAATCCATTTCTGTATAATATAAAAGGTAATTCAAATGCCTCTTGATATTAATAGGACATTGTAAAAAAAGAATGACTATCTACTAAATTCACACTTTACACGGAAACAGTGATAGGATATAGGGCATTGGCTTGAAAACTGAAGATACAATTAACATGTCAAAGGATTCTGCAGGTATATATATGGAGATCTGTATGCAGGTGCTATATGGGCAGGCACCGAAAATCCTGAAAACAGTGGGAATTTTACCACAAGCCAGATTTCTTTCAACTGTGCTCGTGACTCTCCAATACCATGCAGCTTTAAACCTGGAAGTTCACTTCCTGCTTTAGAATCCATCCTCTCATTTGGGGAGGACAACAATAAGGATATTTTTCTCCTAGCTAGCAGTGGAGTGTACAGAATTGTTCGTCCAAGTCGCTGCAATTACACTTGTGCAAAAGAAAATGTTACGGCTGTTGCGGCACCAGGTCCTGCAGCTTCTTCCCCACCTTCTAAGGCAAGCCAATTGAGTCATCCATATAAGAATCTGATGCTCTTAGTCTATTCTCTTTTGTTGCTTTTTCTGAGTTTCGTCTAATGTGTTGCAAATCTGTATGTGATCTCTAGAGAACGTTTTGGAGTGGTTTGTATGTAGATAGCTTCGGGGGTTTTTTGATAAAACTGAAAATTAAGTACTGAAAATTTTAAGAGTTAAATTTAAATCCTAAAGTTTTAAGCGGTTTTGTAAATTGTAAATTTTATTTTTATTTTATATTTTATATCTTTTTCAGATTTGAAGTATTCAACATTTGGTGATAATTGAAGTCATTCACTTAAAATTTTGCCTTATTTTAAGAGTCATTTTTTTTTTTTTTTTAGTGATACTCAAAATACATTATCAAATACACTTAATTGATTAAGAATTTAATTTATTCAGAATTAATTGGTCAATTGACTATGAGCATGCATGGTTAAATGCATAAGCAATATCCACCGGCTGTATAAAGTTTAACTGAAATTAAATATATATAAGCAGCATAAGGGAGACAATTGAATTCAAAGGTCTCTCAATTCTCTAAATAATTATAGCATGTATATAAATAATAATATACTTAAGGAGTTACATCCTTGTTAGCTGTAAGTGCAAAAACAGTAATAAACATCAGCAATTAGTCCAATGACAGTAGGCACAACTGTATTTGTCTTTCTTTTTTTCCTTGGCAAACAACACTACACCACAATAAGATTACAAAGCCATCCGGTGCGAACACCAGGATGGGTGGATACAAACAATAGGCAATAAATAAAGTGTAACAAGGGTTATTTGTCCCACATCGAATTCAGATACAAATAATAGGCAATAAATAAAGTGTAACAAGGGTTATTTGTCTCACATCGAATTCAGATGAGAAAGTGATTCGGTATAAATGAGTGGGTATATAATACTAGCCAATAATTTGAGTTTTTGAGTAAATGAGTAAGCATCCACCGTTAGAGGCCTACGTAGAAAGACTGCAAACACACCGGCATTCCAAGCCCTTCATATCAACCAACTACAAGGCGAAGCGTTTGTAGTACATCACAAAGACCAAGAAACTGTTAACCCAAGTCCACGTACTGCACCGCTAGAACAGGATACCATTCATCTAGCAACCCAGCATCATTTGGGCCTGCAATATCATAAACCCATCTGCAAAGACGTTACACTGAATAAGCTTAAGTGACAGACAACTAGTTTGGGCTTAAATAGAGGCCTAGCGAAACTTCAAGCCAATTGAACTTCCACACCACCTCATCCATTATGATAGATATCGATAGGGGTGGGCAAATAATCCGTCAATCCGGTTCGAACCAATCCGATCCGTATGGTTCAGTTCGGTTTTCAGATCTCATGATTCTGTGATGGTTTAGAAAAATAGTAATCCGCTATTCGCGATTCGGTTAACGGGTTGGACCCTGAAAAAACCGATTCGATCCGTTAACCGAGCCGATCCAATCCGTTACCTTAATTTTATATATATATATATATATATATATATATATATATATACTTATTGTATTTCTATTTTTTATTTATTCATTATTTAAGACTTTAAGTTAACCTAGGTCACCAGAGTCATTAGTCATTACAGCCATTGTGCAGTGTGTGCCTCCCTCAGCCTTTGCAATCTTCACTCTTCGACTCTGTCTTCTTCCTCTCGTCTCCCAGTCTCTCGCCTCTCAATCCAGCACCTATCAATCCAGCAACGGCCTCTTCGACTGGATCAACCTCTTTTTCGGTGAGTTCACAAGATTTTTTTATGGATTTTCTTATTCTCCTCTTCTCTGAACAAATCATGTGATTTATGAACCATCACTTCTTCTTGTGCACCAAGTATTGTGTTCAGTCATCTTTTTAGTATAAACCATTTAATTCTCTGCTGTTTTCTTTCCCTTATATAAATTGCCTACCTCTTCTTGATGCCTATTTTCTACTTTCCAGCCAAGACAAAAAAATAAAAATAGAAATATTGTTTAGAAGAAAAGGTCCATGCTTGTAACAACCTCACCATGCCAACTCCCCATACTGTTTTCACTTGGATTCCTATAGAGATTTATTACAACTCTTTTTGAAATAATTGAGAAAGAGGATTTGATTCATGCTGTGTGTGAATGTTTTGCCTTCTATTTTTAGTTTTTTTAACTGGAAAAGGAAAATCACCTTTGAAGTCAAACTTTTATGTTGTGTAAAGTATACCATACGAGTTGTATAACTTTAGGGGTCTGTTAGTCAGTCTTGGACTGTTTGAAAAGCCCAATTCGTGAAAATCGAATCAATTCAATCCGTTATTTCACGGATCGGTTTGGTTTGGATTGAAGGTTCCCACGAATCGGTTCGGTTTTAAATTTCATCAATCCGTGGGGACCGGATTGGATTGAACTTTACCCCCAAACTAAACCAATCTAATCTGTAATCAGCCCTAGATATCGGTATCATAATACACAAATGGTGGGCCTAATTTTAGTAGAACAGCCTGTTGGATTTTAATTCAATAATCCATGTAAAAATCAAGAATACTTTAACTAATTAAAGAATAATTTAGATATCGTAGCTGATTGATAATTAAACCACATAATACCTTTAAAATATCCATGTAATCCTCTGTAAGTTCCTGCAAAAACATTAAGGTGTTTTGCCCTCTTCTGAAAGTTGTCCTTCGATAGGGCTGAATAAGGGTTTTAAAACCCTTATATAACAATAACAGGGGGGGACGGCTCTCTACAAATAAACATACCCAAGTCTCCCTTCCTATTATGAAAATTTAGATATAAATGGTTGGAATCAAATCATACCAAATAAGTTAGAAAACCACAATCTAACGTTATAAAACCATACTCCCAATTAAACCACCAAATTGGAAAGTACAACCCAATCCATCTAGTATCGATAATCACATTGCAATCCTATTTTAGAAAACGTAGTGAATAGGACCATAAAATAATTTTTATTATTTATATATAAAAAATTTCAAAGATCTCCCACTTAGTCCATGCACTCTAAGTTTTATAAAAATGACAATATGGATTGCAACACACTTTAGAAAAAAGTTGAGTGGCCACTCATTTTTGTTTTATAAAAAATACAATTATCGAAATAGATGGATTAATACTTTAGAACACTCTCTTCCATAGACTTCCTCAATAGTGGATCATAAATGCGTAGACAAATAATATATTAGTCTAAACAGTTCCATGATCTCAAAACCGATTCCATTTAGGATTCAAGCAAATATAGTGGTTTTTACTGTATTTCATGAGATGTGCAAACTGCATGTGGTCTAAACGCATACCTCACTATCCGTCCTGCTTCACACCATCGCAGTATGTCACCTGAACATATTACAGCAAGTCGCCAATCTTCTGTTCAGTATGAGGGTTTACCGATATGGAGCCAATCCCATATCTAGCCCAACCTATCCTCATGGAGTGTGAAAAACTCTCACAGGAAAACTTTAATATTTATGTTTGGATTTATCAATGTGGTGTCAATCTCACATCTAATCCAAACAACCTCATAAGTGTATTACCAATCCCAAACAAATCTTATGTTTAGATTTATTGATATAGTGTCAATCTCATATCTAGCCCAAACAACTGCATGAGTGAAATATCACTCCCAGACAACCTTTAATAATTATTTTGGATTTACCGATGTGGTGCCATATCACATCTAGTCCAAACAACCTCATAAGTGAAATACCACTCACAGGCAAACATAATAGCATGTACATAAACCATGTATATCAAGATAATAACAATGATCCATCATAACTTTATTTTGGATGCAAATAATTGTCACCATAAGGTGTAAATTGGAGGAAAAATTACTGTCACCACAAGACGTAAAGAAACTAACTGCAATATAGCATATATAAAAGAAATATCGGACATCATAACATAATGACTCTCGAACACCTATCCGAATCGTGTTTTTTAAATACTTTATTATCTTCGGTTAAAGACTTTAGTAAGAGGATTTGCAACAATCTTTCTGTAATCATATGGAAAAATCTTAATAGCACTTAAACCTTAACCATCTCATGCTTGAAAATGTACTTTATGTTAATGGGTTTACTACGCTTGTTACCCTTTAAATTGTTTCTATATACTTAATTAATATAAGTCTTTAGAGAAAGTTCAAGTATTCCAGTAGCGTGATCTCTATGGATCCTAATGCCAAGGACATACTTTACATACCCATGTCCTTTATGTCAAAAACTTTACATAAAATTCTTAATATCATGTATCACATGAATATCATTGCTACCTGGCAAAATATCATCAACATATAGGACAAGGAAAATAAAAATGACTCCCACTGAACTTGAGGTTTATGCATTTATCCATAACATTCTCTTTGAACCTATAATTAGTAACCATTGTATCAAAATTTGGATACCATTGCTGTAAAACTTACGTAAGCCATAAATTAGTGATAATGAAAGAATGACTCTTAAAGAGTTCTTTAATGAAACTGGAGAAAAATCTCAAAAAAATCAACACTTAACTTTTGCTTAAGCACTTAGCCATCAATTTTGTCTTATATTCATTATACACCTCAAAAACACTAACTACAAACACACTTCTAAGCTCTAGAAGATCTCATAATCTAAACAAACTTAGGAACTAGATTGGAAACTGAAAGAAAAACTTGCAAAGGAGAAATAACTAAATGAGTGGGAATAACTAAAAGAGTGGGAATATGAGCTTTAACTAAAACCACTAAAGAAAGTGGATTGAAGCCTGAAATAAATAGAATAGATGCTGAAAATACTTTTCTACAAAAGAAACTACAATATCTTAAACTCTCACTGGATTTACCACTCTCATTAAATATGCATGACATATTCCAATAATCTCCATAGGTCTACAGGACAGTAAAATCTCAAATCTTTTAATCTTTCAAGATGCCCAATAAAATAATCATTGATAGTGTGAGTATCAAACTCCTTGATATCTGTATTATATAACTCTATCTCTATAAGACATACCCACACTTTCTCTTTTCTGTAACTTTATTTTACCCAAGAGAACTAGGAATGGTATACTGTAGCACAATGCGTTACTATTTAAGTATATATTGTAGTACTACGATTTACACCCTCCTTACCATTCTCCCAATAAAACTCATCACCTTAGTCCGATCTTAAAACCATAATCATTATACTCAAATACTTTCAACTTTAGTCTGATATATTTTACACACATCAAGTGTTTCGGACTTGTAATGACTCGGTCATTTTCCTTCCTTTCATTTTCTTAGATT